TCTGGGCTGGCGCTGTCTTCCTGTGTGAAGCGCCAGACCCATTCACACTATGAAACGATGATGATGATGTATGTTCAGGGCTGCATTACAACATTAATTGTTCGGATCACTGGTATCTAACTCTTCTGCTGTGTTATCTTGTACTTTGTATTGAAAGGTCGGTTCTTGTTCTGGTCTGCACGTTACAGTATGCAACAGAGAGAGAGAGAGAGAGAGAGAGAGAGAGAGAGAGAGAGAGAGAGAGAGAGAGAGAGAGAGAGAGAGAGAGATCCCCTAACGGTAGGTCACAAAGACAAGGGGAAGACCTCACACAAGCTCCTAATGTGCCAAGTGTAGTAAACGACGGTACACCGTTAATGAAATCAGCGGCTGGCAATGCGTGGTCCTGACACCATCGTACTTTCACCGGACTGTGTCTAACCAAGGAAAAGATCCAAAAAGACGACAAGGCAGCTAGAAAGACTGCAGTAACTGCTAGAAATAACATGTGTGCCCCAATCGGCAAAGTTGTGCTTCACGGTAATAACTGGCAGAGCTGCATAGCAGTAAAAAAAAGAAGGCACTGCCTTCATAAGTTGTGCACCGACTACGACTGCGCAGCTTATGTTAAACAAACTAACTGCGAAATGTGTCCGAGGCAGGTACAGATGGAAGAAAAGAACGTAACACAACGGGGATGTGGAAAAAAAAAAAAACCATTAAAAAAACAGGAAAAAACACCAAACATGAAAAAAATAGTTCCACAGAAGGTAAAAGAACTCGGACTCGTACGCAGTCCACAAGTGCTGAACCGAGATGTGCACACGTGAGCGAAAACGACCAGACTGCTCATAGCAATGGAGGCAAGATGCTAGACGTGCAACAGGGCTGCTCACACCGAGTCACACGCATGACACCAATAGGGGAAAAAGGTACACGAAAAGAACAGGCGGAGCAAGTTGACAACCTTCCTTCCTAATGCAGTTCAACAAGTCATGAAGCATCAGTAGAGGAAAGGGAATGAACACAACCCAAAAAGCATCCAAAAAAAAAAAAGTCCAAAATGCATGCCCCTTTCACCGACGTAAAAGGTGGAGTCGCCTTACCTTCCGCGGAGCTCAGTTTCCCGAGCTGAGGCGGGGTCGCACATCCTCCTTGCCCTGATCTTGGCACAGGGAGGTCT